TGGAATTATGAGTTATACTGACTGTGGATGTGTTATATTAAATATTAATAACGCAAATAAAAAGTTTCTCAATGTGTCAGAACCAAAGTACTTGTTAAAAACATTTTAAGTAAACATGCTCAAAAGTTGAAGGTTGGGAGCCATTTGCCCATATTGCCTGAGGAACGTTCCCCATAATTATCAGTTTTTCTCATTTAGAAAACATAAATCCATAGGTTCGATCTAAACGGGAGATAATTCGTTTGAATTCGCCCATACAGTTCGTATAAGGAAACTAAGTGGAAACCGTGCATTGCATGTTCATGTTAACCACAGAGCTTCAGTCTCGTTTCGAACATTTTCTTGATTTATTAATAATTGTTTTGAATTATTTAACGATTTCTAAAGCTCTAATTAGACGTAATTAACGACTTGTACCACCATCTAACGAGTCTCAGGATGAACGTTCAGTTCGCCGATCTGTAGTTAATTAAACGGTATGCTCGGTGAACCGATCGGTTGTTAAATTAGTTGATTGGCGTGCTCAAGACCAACTTACACCACTTCTGGTCGTGTGTCATTAAACAATTTAATAATATGTCCTACACTTTGTCAGCAGCCAACCTGTAATAGTTCGTTGTTAGAGAGTGGCCACATTGAAACATTTCATGTAAAATGCATGGTTACGTTTTGTGCAGGACCACATGTGATGATGCCGCGAACGCTATTTTACACCACCCGTCGGTTGCAGCAGATTTCGGCTTTGTTCTCATCCAATTAAAATGGGTCGAGATTTTCGGTTGCATTGACAAAACCTGATTTTTATCCAACTGCATCTGCATGTGAAGACAACGTATGTACCTGCGGTTTAAAGGTGCAAAATAATAGTCGTTTGCAGGATCTTCTTCTTACCATTCAATGTTTTAGTGTCCCATTCAATGTGTAGCTATCGAACAATTCGCATTTTTGCTTTTCTAGCTTCCTTCGTAGTTTTATATGATTTGCATGCAAATTTAATCATAGAAATTTGTGTAACTCATTTTCTTGCCCGAACTATTTATTTTATTGGTTCAGACTCTCAACTAGAGCGTATTAACGTTCTCCCTAATTGCAAAACTGCAAATTGCAACACTACAGAATGAATGATCATCTTATTGAGATTGAGGTATTTTGCCCTTAAACCTGGTAGCCAGGAAAAAAAGAAAGGACAAAAACTATGGACATTAGTTGAGAAAAATCTACAGAACAGATAAAAACGAGATGTTGAGGAACTAAACAATCTATAAAAGTTGTGATCTATAAAAGTTGCTAGAGAGAAACACTGCCTAAAACCTAATATTGAAAGCGAGAAACTGAGTGACAGAACAAGGAAAATGATGAAAAATGCGAGAAATAAGGAAACAGCAAGGAAACAAAATACTCACATTTGTTGAAAATTTTTATAAGAATCTCTATGGGAAAACTCAGGAAAGAGTGCATGAGGAAGTACAACAAACGAATGAAGGATCTAAAGACCTGCCGGATACAACCACCGCAGAAGTAAAAGCAGCCTTTAGAGAAATTAAATACAAAACAGTCACATGAGATGATGAAATCGTAGTCGAAGCAGTAAAAGAGGGTGGAGGTAATCTGAAATATCCAGCAAAGCTCTACAACAAGAGTTGCACCGAATATAAACTTCCAACTATTTGGAATAACGCTGCCATCATCAAAATAACGCATAAAAAAGGAAATATGGCAGATCTACCCAACTACAGACTCATAAGTCTCACATTTATAAACTTTTTACAAGAATACTACCTAACAAAACTCTTAACTAACAAACAACCATTTACAGGTAATTAAGACATCGATGGAAAAATGCAAGGAATTCAATAAACCGCTAATGCTTATCTTTATTGAGTTTGAAAAGGCTTGGATTTTTTCATACACCAGGAGGGATTGCTAAAAGCACTAGCATACTGCCGAATGGACTCCAGATATTCTCAAACTATAAAACAAATGTATGACCAGACTACAGCAGAAATTCAGCTCTAGTTCAAATTCAACTATAAAATCAACATCAATAGACGCGTACAGCAAGGAGGCAAACACACCAAATTACCAATTTTAGCGACCTAAAAACCCGAAAAGCACCGATTGTTTCCCAGTTCATTTATTATACATATATTGAAATCTAATATCTCACGCAACATGCTTAAGTCTAGAAAATTATCCTTCAGTCTCTTGGCATGGGGACGATCAAGAATATTGGAATAAATCGCTCAGTCACATTAAATATGGATATATCGTTTCCATTGCTTCCCTTATAAAGTCATAAATATTTGAGGTCCCGTCCAGAAGATTGAAGACATGCCCTAGATAATGACATAAATATTAAACGGTCACTATGTTTCAATAAGATCGCGATTTTCTCGTTCAAGGGATTTTAATGTTAATATTAAACGTCGCATGCATTATATCACGGGTCTTGTTGCGAGCCAATCTGATGCACGTCGAGTATGATTTGTATGCTGAATTTATTTTCGGATTTTTTACGTGCAAATATACATGGAATATTCTCATGTTGGAAGTATGCCTGATTTATCGGAAATAAAACAGTACAACCCGCATTAATCCCACATAGCTGAAACCGACGCCAATCCAAAGACCTCGGTGAGAAAATGACCTCAAGTAGTTAAAATTTTCCAAAGCATTTATCGGCTTATGATTAAACTTTAATAAATACTTTATAAGACGTTTTTGCGTTTGCAGTCAAAGTTCAAAGCCTTAGGCCCACTTCCAGTCCCCAAGCGAATAAACATATTGCACACGGGTGTACCGTTAAATATGTGAAAATAAATAACGAGGCCCCATCTTCACTTTATGGCACTAGTGATTTTTATGTCACCGGCTCCAACATGCATGCAAAATTTTATTATAACTCTGCAGCGCGTTAATGATTGTATGCATTTAGAGAAACTTGCTGTTAGGCGTTTTGAATACATTGTCTTTGTCCATTAAGTTTAATTGTGTGAGAACGTGTTTTATGGCGTCAAAGTTGACAAAAGTGTTAAACTAAAGTCACTGATTTAAAGTAACAACCTGGCTTGACGGACCTGCGTTAACACCGTTAACGGTTTACTAGTTAGAAATTTCATTTGCAATCGACGCGCAAACTTGTCGAAAAATAGTCAGAAAAAATGTCAGTTAAAACGAACGAAGTACAAAACCCAATGTGGTAACGACCGGGAAGTCTTTTAAAGAGTTTAACATAATTCAGACAAAATTATCACTAAATAATTACATATTTTCCAGGCCAAGAGCAAAAGTTCAAAATAATTAGGAACTTGGCTGTAAGTTTCACACTTGAATGTTCATTGGAAGATTAATGAAAACCTCTAACAGTTTCTAGATTATTTTTGCAGTTGCCCAATCGCAGCAATAATTTCGATCAAAAAATGTTGGTATTTTTCACCTTTAGGTTCATTGCAGGCAATTTTAGCATTAAGATGATAAATAAATGCAAAATCGCAGACTACTTACTGCGAAAATGACTCCAATAATCAGAAACTTACCTGAAAATAAAAAAATGAATCGTTAATAATTACACTTATAAGCTAAAATTTCAAAAAAATTACATTAAAATGCGGAATTTATTGATGAATCAGGCACACTGCCAGCAAGCATCAATGAACGATAATATTTATATATTTTCAATACCACCGACTTATAGTTGATAAACATACATACACTGCATATCTGCACGTTTAATGAATAGGAACTACATGTTTTGAATATTGGAGCCGTTAATACGAGCTCTTCATTAAGAAGCTGGGAATGAATTAAAAACACTCTCCATTTTGAGAAGCACGTAGTTCGAATACAACCATTAATTGGATCATAAGCATAAGTAATTATCAATTAAGAGCCAGTTATGCTGTGCAAACTGGTCCACAAGTATGTTTAAGTATCAGAAGCTATATTAGTCGACGGCAGTGTTACTCATCCTGTAATGTCTGCCCGAACATGTCATAGCTTGTCCTTAAGTGGACATCGAAACGTTTCTCCTATTATGCTTTCTAAATCTATGAGAACGTAATAAAAATATCCACGCAAATTGGCATTAGGAATGACTTGACTCGTCTTAAAGGCCACTCAAAGTGAATACTTTAAAGGGCTTGTAAATGTTTTTGCTTGGAGTAAGTGGCTAGATGCAAACAAAAGTTACTAGTGATTATCATAAAAAATCGTTGATATGTGCAAAGTAAATTTGTAAAATTTTGAAAGCTTTCAGGTCTTGAAAAATAAAGAAGAATCGAGAAGCTACATACAATCTCTATTACAAAATTAATGTTAAACCATTTGACATTGGGACCTTTTACAATTTAAAGGTGTATTCAAATTATACTGTAAATACTTGTGTAAGTTAGAAAATGTTGTTAAAAAACTTTAAAAATTATATATTTTTTATTAAAAAAAGATAAAAACATATTTAAAATGAATCATAGGCAAATGATCGACTCCAGTTCCAATCTGCACTCATTCGATATCAATAAAAATAACAATACGCCTTCGTAATTGCTTTTTATAGTAGTAGTCAGGATAGACGACATAAATATAGCTACTAACTGTGTGAATGCCAGATTATGCAAAATAGGTTTGCTTGAGTACGTTTTTACTATGTGGAGGCAGTACTTAATTAACTGTGAAACGTTCGATTTGTACAGATTTTCACAAAAAAATGCGTGTGTGAAATGTGAATTGTCGCAATTTACTGGCTAATTAATGCGTGCTTCCTTTTCATTACCGATAAACGTAAAACACGGCCAGGTTTATAGTTTGGTGGGAAATTATTCGATCGCTAGTTGCCCAAGGAGCACACTTTTTACCTGATGAATTAAAACAACATTTTCAAACCGTCTAAATACCCCCAGATGAAATTGAAAAAGATAAAAATTAAGCTAATTTGTAAGAACTGTAACATACAAAATACAGTAATTTAGTCCTATTTTGCAAAATAAAATTGTATTTTTTTGCAGGAGGAAAGCTACTAGAGGCCAGAAACCGTACCTAAAACCGCAAATTCTCAACCTTCAAGCAAGAAAATTCAGACAACAGAATCGTTTATATGTCATTGACATGGTTCGAATTAAAAATATAACTGCGAGACTTAATTCGGTCTAATTCATTCTAAACATGAGACTGGGCAATAAAAATAATTTTAGAGACCTGAAAATAACATCTGTCCCTGTCCCGATGCGCGTTTAACGGGCAATAGGTCACTTCACATCATTGTCATTAATTAACACCCTAATTACAAAATTAATTACTTTTTGTTGACTTTACGGTTGATGAATTCTCGGGTTTACTGTCTTAAAATTGCCGGGTTATAATAGCCGGGCAATTCCTATTAGGTTCTGATTTTTGCGCTTATAGTTTTATTAATATAAATTTTAAATGTTCAGAGAGAAACGTAATTTGAAACCTTAATAAGACAGAAAGCATTTCATGTTTTGTTGAAACTTTTTGGTTTGTATGAAACATGGCAAACAGATCAAAAATCTGCTTATTCACCTTAATAAAAAAAACTCCAAAAATTGAAAACCATCCGTTCCTTTTTGAGCAGGGGAGGTGAAAATGTAAATCGCTGATTTATTATCACATTACAAAATTCCCTGGAGATTTACTTAAGCCACCGTAAGCTGCGTGGGAGCCGAGGCAAAAAAATCGTCGCAAATCGACAAACATGCTTAAACTTGTTCCGTATTTCTTCAGACACCGAACGATTGTCGCAACACCATATTTCACCAGAAACATGTGTTGCGTCGGGGACTTTTTATCGCTAATCTTAAATTATGTCGCCGTTGTCTCACACACACTTTTCAACTTGGTTTCGCTGTTAATTTCGTTTTTTTTCCCAAAATATTTGTAACATTAATGTGAAACTTTGCACACGTGAATTACTTCTTTACACATCCCCAACGGTCTACTTAACCATACGAGACTGATGTAACTAAAGTTTATTTGGAGGATTTTGGCCCGACAAGATGTTTTAATCATTTATCACATTTAATAGGCAGTTAAACTTGACGGCTACAACTCCTAATTTCGAACTTTTCCTTTACAATGTCTAAAAGTTTACTTTTCTTGACTGATGATGTCAGCGTATACGGTTTGATCCTGAGGTGTCGGGTTTAAAACTTATTACATTCTTATTCAAATTGCCGACATAATTTAGTGTGGTATGTCCAAAGCTTTTACTAATGCCAAACAGCCACGAAAACAACACTAAACACATGGCGGAAAATCTACGTTTATTTAATTGTTTAAGAAGCTATAAAAAATCATTTAAACTAAGACTAAGAACGAAGGAAAACGTTTAGTAACTAAACCTAAAAGCATTCAATTTCTTCAGGTCTTTACAGGCCTAATGACACAGGCCTTAATATACATTTCCTATTTGCTACTTATTTATCATTATTGGCCAATTAACTCTATAAGCTGTGTCCCAATACTCAGACGATTAAAGTGTGAAAAATTAACCAGCCAGGATCAGGATATTGGGCACATCCGCTGATGATGGGACAATAACTTTTAATTAACCTCGAAAGTGCATTAAAATGGTTGAATTTTCGGCAACAAAATAATTAAAATGCCGATACGAAACGGCGACATATTCAAATTTGTAAACAGGAAATGGAAAATTGTATTTACATTCTCTCACGTTTCTTCCATGGTTGAAAAATGTCTTTTCATTTCCGTTTTATTATTTCGATGCTGCTAATAAAAGGTTAAAGATTAATTGAGTAAAAGACACACACCAAATAGTCAGCTAGAGCAAGATTTAAAAATGTTTTTAAATTTTCAATTAATTGAATTAAATTTTTGCAGAAGAAATATGGTAAAACATTCACTCAAAATCGGGATCCAATATGAACAACACAATGAATATTAAATAAAATGTAAACAATTACACAGATAATGAACTGATAAAACCCGTCAGGGCGGGAAAAGGTCTGGTCAACAGTTTCATTCACGTTTCAAAGCTTAGCGTGTCAGCTCAAAAATACAGAAACGTTATTGTAAATTCACTCAAAAAATATGAGCAGAAACATGAAATATTCAAGTAAATAATAATAATCATCACGTAACAGCTACTCAACAGAGGGATTTACAACTTATAGAAAAAATATAAAGTAATACAAGCAAAACTAAAAATTGGAAAATGCTTTGAGAAAAATAAATTGTTAAAATCTTCAATGAGTAAAAATGAATGAACAAAACAAGCAGACATTTTACTTTCCAGTCTCGTATCGATACAATTATCGTTCGAAAGGGAAAAAAGTGAGAAGGAAATATAAAAACTAAACAATAAATGTTCGAGTTCGTTACCAAAAATACGTGACGTAGCGGTAAAACTTGTCAAGATGACGAACATTCTTGAACTCCGCTTGTCACAGCTTTTAATTTACACCCAATTAAATTAAGATGGATGCGAACGTTTCGTCTGATGTTTTCGGGTGAAAAACCCATTATAAACTTAACAAAAGCCGTAATAAGATGATGTTGTATCTTTTTTTCCCAGTTAAATGAATAATTTTATGTACTTATGTACGACTAATAATATCTTTTTTCAATTATAACCTCTGAGGAAAAACTAATCGATTACCCACTTTCACCTGAAATATTATTTGCACATTTAGCCTATTGTAGGAACCATTAAAAGTTAAGTAGATCATTAAAGACATTATTCTAGAAGATTTCGCAATTAAACAATCTCAAATGAAGTCGAATAGAAAATAAAATTCACAGGAAAACAACACAATAAACGTTTTTGACATTAAATTATTGTCTATAATGCCGTTATTTTAAGATCATTTAAAGCGCTTATTCTCTCCCTATTAAGCGTCGCTTTTCCCACAGTAATGTAAAAATATATACATCTAAAATCAAATGACGAACGCTTTCATTTCATTAGTGCAAATTATAATGTTTATTAAATGGTTATTGCCGCCAACAGTAACTGAAAGTACCTACCGTTTAAAACATCTAGAGATGTGCATCAGTTGAGATGCGATATTATTTTGTGTGTGAATTTATCTAATATAGAAGGATTTTTTCAAGAAAACCAGAACTAATCATCAAACCATTCAGTTTATTGCTCTTTTAGGTAACGTGGAACAATTAATGTGAAACAAGACTATTTTTACGTTTACCGGTAAACATGCCCATGAAAGCACAATGTTCTCTGTTGTAGCTAAAGACTAGGATGATTAATTGGTATTCTTGGAGGATAATTTTCGCCTGCTAGTATGATTTACTACACGAAAAACACGTATGAAATTGTGCTTTAGTTTAAAGCTCCTGCATGGTTTTGTACAGTTAAGAGATGTGGAAGTTTTGCGCAATTTGCTATTGAATTAATGCTGATGACGTTGATTATTGACGGATATTCGCAGAAAAAGCACCGGCCAAAAACGTCCTTTAAAATCGTTTCACAGAAGGAAAATAATTGAGAGTTAGCAAACTCATAGAACTAAGCAATAACATACTAAAAATTAATTGATTAAACGTATGATTCTGAAAGTAAAGCAAAGATTGCAATGCAATACAAGTGCAAAATTAGCACCGCATCTTGTCACAAGTATGAATAAACCAAATCGGCAAAACATAAGAAGCACACATGAAGAATTGATCAAAAATTAAGAAACAATTTGAAACGATTCCATAAGAAGCACGTGCTGATTCGGGCGCCGTTTCGTTCAAAATGTGAAAAATCCTTGGTTAAAAACAAATTACCTGGACAGTCTGGTTGTGAATCGTTAAATGCCAGTGGAAGCTTTCAAATGATCACCTTGTATATTTTTTCCTTATTAAATGAAATACTACTACACACTACTGCGTATTAATAAAACTTTAATTTTAATCATAAGTTTCCGAAAAGATCGCTTCAAAATAAGAAAAAACGCAAATAAAACGGTATATTTTCGACGTCAGCAGTCAGTGAAAGCTTTTTTTAAACTTTATTTACTAATATTCTCACTACTTTTGCAATCACTTCTTACACCTGTGCAAGTGAAAAATGTTATGCAACAAACTCTGCTCTTTTAAATAAATGACATATATTGTAACTGTAGTACATATTGGTATGTAAGTAACATACATATCAACATACCATGCATAAATAATTGTAAGGATCAACAATTTATTGCCCGGTTATCGAATCGGAAATATTTAGAAAGGCTTTTGGGGATATTTTAATTTGACTGTTTGTTACCGTCCACTTCTGAATTAGATTTTTTAGATTTTAAGTGTTTAAATTCGCACATAATGATTTTCCGATAAGTAATATTAAAGGCAGTTTTATTTTCACTATTTTTATAGTTTTTTAATTAAGCCAAGTGATGGCTTGGCACCAGTCCAGGTCAGAATCCAATTATTCCGTAAGCGCATACCGATTGTGCAATAATAATTGAGAAACAATAATAATTAATTGAGTTTTACTGCTTTTCCTTTGCTGGGAATTAACCTTCTACTGTACATTCTTTCGATTAAGTTTTTCAGAAAAATGTGATCGTTTACGGCGATTTATATATATATTATGTTGAATTTATGCATGTGGACAATCGGAGCGGTTAACCTTCAGCCTAGTCAACTTCAATTGGCTATTGTCAACTGTTGATTTAGTATTTTGTGGTAGATACAAGATGTTGTGCAAGCTGATTTAGACATCCAATTGGTCTTATGTTAATTCATATTTATATAAAGTCCAAATAAGTCATAAACGCAAGTCCAATGGCATAAGTAATTTTTGGTAAAAATGACACTGATCTACCACTAGTAACAAGAAAAAAAATGTAACACAACTGTAATGGATCAGTGATATCTTTAAAACTTTCCTTTTATGTGGAATTCTAGGATGGAACGTTATGCTATGGTTCTATGAGCATACATAATACGAACCTCACAGACATCCACTTACAAACCTATTCATTAGCGTTTCTTGTGATTGAAAGCAATAATTAATTAACTGTAAATTATTAACTAGACATAATTACCTCTTGATGTTTTCAAATGGAGCGCAATATTCACACATTTCCATACTTTGGTCAAATGTTCTATAAATCTAAATCATGCTAATAATAAATCAGAAATAGTAAAGCGATTTTGC